CAGTGTGTATGGGAAATTCAGGCCTGTTTTTAAAAAAAATAAACTAGTCTTCTTAACAAATAAAACTACATCATTAAAAGTATCATTTTTACAAATAATATATGGTGTATTATAATTGTATCTTTCCTATCTTTAGATATTTCTATAGTAAAATTACCTACCATTTTACTATAGAAGATAAATGCTTGAAACAGTGAATCCAATGATTGTGTCCATTTAGCTGCTCAAGAGATGTAGTTGATTCTGTATTTATGTTCCACAGTGGCCTTTCATTCAGCATTTGAATCTATGCACTTACATAGTGTCTCGCATGGCTGGCACTGAGCTTGTGGATGCAAGTAGCCATGGTCTATGGACTTTCTGGAGTCTATGCTCCTGAAGAGAACATCTATAGAAAACGTGAAACAGTCAAATCAATTAGTTAATGAAAAATTATATGTGGAGACCTTGATGAAGTTAAAAGCCAAAATATAGTTGATCGTTTTTCAAGTTTTGCTAACTTTACAGCTGACCTCTAATGAATGTGTCAATATATATGTGGAAACTTGAAAAACTTCAGGTTAGCCCCATGTTCCTCAAGCAGGAACAATTGAATACCATACTGTACAAACTAGAGCAAAGTCTCACAACTTAATTATTCACCAGATCTTTTCCTATTCCCTACTAAAGTTTAAGTCAAAGGAATTAGAAGGCCAAGCACAGTAATTAATTGAAAATCCTCTGGACTCACAAACTACTTTGAATATATACTCACAAAATAACACTTTTGACCCTAAAAGGCATTTTATTCTTAGATTGTGAGAACATAATCTCTTTTATCCAAAATTCTCTTTCTCCAAAATGTTTCATCATTTGATCTCAAGCTCCTCTTCATAGTTCTGTTTTATCTCCATTCAATCCTGCTGAGTACCATTGACATTAAAGCCATCTAAAAGAATGTGGCTCACAGCTCCATGGATGCAATTATTGTGACATGTGTCTTCCATCCTTATCCAGTAGAAATTGTGTGTTGCCCAGGATGATTGATTTATTACTGCCTTTGTACTTGATTTTTGTCATTATTCATTATTTTCTTTGTCAAACAGACCCACACTCTTCTTCATATAACCACCCAGTCCTGTCTCTCACTAAGCAAAGTAGCTGATGGCTCTCAACATCCCACTGTGGAAGCATGTAACGATAGTGCTTGGCAAAAATGGCTACTAAGAAACTATACCAGAACAGAAGTTTTTAGGAATATTTTTGGGAATCTTACTGATTACTTTCTCTAATCATTTTTAGTGATTCACGTTGCAGACTTTAGTATATTTGTTTAGTACTTTTGCTATGTTTGGTCATTGAAATCTGGAAACTTTTTAAAAATATGGTTTAAAAAAATTTTATGTATGGCATCTTTTTATGTCTTTTGCTTCTTAGCTTCTCATTAATTTGGAGACTGTATATATTAAGTAGTGTTTAGTATATCATTAACATATATATTTTCTATTTCAAATATATGTACATAAATATAATTAATAAAATATTTTATTAAATATCAACGTTTTCTTGGGCTAATTATAGCCATGTCTGTGACAACAGAGTCTGTATCAGAGCTGATTAAAAAAAAAATCTAACATAGTTAAAATATCTAATAGCTGAAAAAAATGGAATGTTTAATTTGTATTGTTTATTTAATTTTGTTGATTTTTAATAGGTGCTTTTGTTGTTTGTAGATGTAGCACACTCCTTATAAAGTATATAGTTATTTTAATCTGAAATACTAAGAAAATGCACTATTAAAGACTAAATAAGATGTAATTTTCAATAACTTTATGAAAAAATTCTAAGCATTTATTTGTGGTGAAGTTATATAATTATAACAATAAAACTTTTTTAAAATAATATCTTTTATCTCTCCTTGTATGATTTATGACTGTCTTCTCAGTAAGGAATAAAATGAAGCATGTATTTAAAATCAGCAAACTGATGAGCAATTCTGGTAAACATTGCAAATAAGAACACATCTTAGTACTTGATTTTATTGGATTTATCACTCAGTAAATGTGATTTTATGTTGTCCAATGCCTTACTATGAGAATGCTTGGGAGGTTAGGGAGGTTTTTTGGTTCCCGTACCAGCTAATGGATTTTAGTGCAAGACACAATGGACCTTGAATTGCTTGTAACATAGCTGTCAATGGAAGTATGGAAAGTGGATGGCAATAGGGGTATTTTTGGATTTGAATCATGTTTGAGATAAGGACATTCTGAATATAAGTCAGAAAAGTTTAGACCCTTTGCATAAAGAGGACTTGCATGGAAGGCAATTTACATATATTATATTAGTGTGCTTTCATATTAACCATACCTGGTATGTGCAATGCCCAACAAGGGACATTTTAAAACTAAAATTTCACCTCCCATATCTACTTATAGAGTCCTAGGGCAGAGACCACCACAGCTCGTTTCTCTTGTTAGGAAATCTTGTGGCAGTTCCCCCAGCACTTCTTACAGGCTTCTGGAAGACAGCTTCTGCGCAGGTGACAGCCCTGTGCAATATTATGAGATCCACTCAGCCAGATGTTGAAACCATCCTGGCTTAATAGTCTTATCCTCACAGGAGTTATCTCCTGTTCCAGCTCTACAGGCAGTTCCAAGAACCCAATGGGACACTGGAAATTACAGGAGTCTACACTCAGAATACCCAAATTTATCTTCTTACATGAATTTAGTATTTTACCAATTTTTCAGTTGCAGAAGCAATTTATCAATCAGAGGTCATTTTTACCATAAACTGTGTTGCCTAGGAACATATAGTTAGCTGTTTTATCTTTATCAGGTTGCTAAGGGACCAGAGTTAGTTAGCTGACTCAAGGTCTATTTATTTTTAGCAGAAGAGGAAGGGGTATTTGTAAGCATTTATAAATCTAACCAAGTATTTTCTGACCAAAAAAAAAAAAAAATCTGGTTCCTTAGAATGATTTGGTGGCTTGCCCAAATATTCACAGCTAGTAAGTGACGGAAGAGGAATTCACACAAGTCTATCTGAGCCTAAAATGTCTGATTTTCTACTGCACTTCAGTAAAAAGGAGAAATTTTTGGTTGGTCTTTGTTATCTTAGCAGCAGTGTGTTTAGGCTATTAATAAATACCTTCAAAAGAAATATTCATGCATTTTTAGAAAGAACAATGCTTACTGGTATTTTTTTAAATTGTCATCATTTGTGTAATGTTTGATAATACTTAATTTGATCCTTCAAGAGAAAAGATCTCAGTTTATTCCAATTTGGCCTAAGGTATCTGATCTGATCATTGATCAAAGAATCCATCTGTCGTGTGGGATCAGCTTAGACTAAGATAATGACAGAGCTTTGTGGGATAGTTCAATGGGCAATAATGTATTAGATATAAGTACAGTTCATACTTTCTTTAAAAAAAGGACCTAATAGAAGCATGAAATGGTAAGTGATTTTTTTTGAAGGAGAATATATATACAAATGACCTCAGGTAAGTAACAAAATTGAAGGATTCTTTTTTGATGTTGACTAGAACTTTTTAGGGAAAAAAAAAAAATTGCTTTAGTTTCATTTGGATCTTTTTTTAACTGGCTGGTGTTTGAATTTCTGGCACGATGAAAAGAATAAATCAACTATCTTCCTGCCTTTCTATCCTTGACAATTTCTTTTTTCTCCATTTTTGAGTATAAATAGTTTGATTCATGTATTAAAAAGCAACAACAAAGGTCTCAATCTTGAAATCTCCTTCACTTCTAGTAGTTTTGCTCTTTTAATTTCCTGCTCATTGTTTATTGGGCATCCTCCACCACAGCCAATTCTTTGTTCTGTCTTTCCTCACAACAGGGCAGCTCTGAGTGTTTTCAGTCCTAATCTAAATGAATAATAGGAAGGGAAGGAGGGGAAGGAAAGATTTTGTCAACCATTAATTTTGGTAATTTGCACAAAAAGGGGGAATCTGGGGTGCTATTTTATTTATTTTTTTTAAATTTTTTTAATAGAGAGAGAGAAAATTTTTTTTTTAATATTTATTTTAGTTTTCGGTGAACACAACATCTTTGTCTGTATGTGGTGCTGAGGATCGAACCCAGGACACACGCATGCCAGGCGATCGCGCTACCGCTTGAGCCACATCCCCAGCCCTGGGGTGCTATTTTAAAGATATACCCACAAATAACTTCATAAATTTTTCTGGTTGGGGAGTTTTCCATCTAATGTGGTTCTAGGCATTGCCTATGAAACTGAAGAAAACTATATATAATTAGTACATATAAAGCACATGGATTTTAAAAAGATATATCTGGAAATTTCAAAAATGTGATTTTCAATATAATTGAGAACACCTTTTAGAATTATGAAGAAAGTAAAAATAAACAAGCATAGCACTTTTAAAAATCTGATCATAATATCTCTGCTATTATTTGATATTCATATGTTCAAATTCTTAAAAATGTATATCAAAATATGGTGATCATACTATCAAGTAAGACAGATCATTTGTTGCCATGAATCACTATTTTAAAATAAATGTGTCAGATACTATGGTTTGTTTAATATTTTGAAATGGGAACATCACTAGCAGTTTTGTTCATTTGGGCCACAGCTGTGACATCTATTTGTATGTTTACCAAATAGTTACTGAATAACACATGCCTAAGAAAACTAAGCTTTTGTGAAAGCTTGTTAATTTTTGCAGCCCTCAACTATACTTAGAGCTCACAATGGGCTTTTTGCAAAGAAGCCTGAATTTTTGGCAACCCATGATAAATATTAGCCAATTGCCTTAACTATCTGCAAATAAAGGTGCATTAGACAAGAATAACTCCTTAACCATCAGAGTTGTATAATTAACTCAGAGACACCTATGCACAGTTCCTTCTACAAACATATCACAATGTAATACACTGAAAAAAAATCATAAAGGATTGTTTAAAGAGCTTTTTTGATCTGATGTGCTAGTAAAGCTAAAGATGAAAGAGGCTGAGCTGATTATTGATTATCTTTTACAGAGACTCACGTTGAGACATGTTAACAGTAACCAATGTCTAGATGAACCTTCTGAAGAAGACAAAATGGTGCCTACCATGCAGGACTGTAGTGGAAGCAGATCCCAACAATGGCTGCTAAGAAATATGACCCTGGGGGCATGAAGACTATTTCCCCCAAGCCATCAAAGTGTCTATACTTTTGGTTTTCCATTATTTCAATGAGGGGAAAAATAATAACTGCTGAAATGAAAGTTTTAAAAATCCTTTTAGTATTCTAAAACATAGTTGTTTATAATTCATTTTTAGGAATGTTGGATTATTTCCCTACTAAAATTTGTATCTCATTGAAGAAGCACATAAAAAACATAAATAATAGCCAAGTGTTATTAAGCTATGGAACAACTTGAAAAACAAATTGTGTTTGTTTTAAAAAAATCTTACTGCCCTCATGTCACAAGGTTAATGGGAGGTTAATTTATTTTTTGCTGTCATAGTGATTGAGAGAGACATAATGTAAATGCCTTACAAAATATCTTCATTATGAAATATTATCAATTGCTTTATATATTCACTCTTTGTACTGGACCTTCATAGGAACATGTTGAATTTCTATGTCAACAAATATGATCACAAATTATTTCTGAGCATCGAATTCATTGTACAAAATATCAGGTTCCACATTTTGTACCAGGAAAAAAATTTAAATTGGATATTGAATTCATAGTCTTTACAAAAACATCACATTTAAACAAAAAAAGAAAGAAGAATTTGAAAATTCGATTTAAATAGGAAATGCAAATTCAAATGAAACAAGCAGAAATTAGCCAGATATTGAGGAGAATGATGGAGGGAAATGGAAACAGTCCTTGGAAGAGACATGGCGGCTGGGTTGCAATCATTCCTAACACAGGCTGAAGACAAACAATTCCATGGCACAAGCTAAATCTGTAGCCATGTCCCTATCTCCACAAACAACATCCCCTTCGTCTTTAGAGTCTGTGGCTTATCACACTGTACAGAATTGTAGGACCAAGTTAGAGTTTCAGACTTAATCTTTAACTCTTTCACACTTAGAAATTTTAGTTTAATCACTATTATAGTTCTAATTTTTAACTTTAATAAAATGAATGCATTGCTATTAGAATTTCATTGTTATGCCATCATACTAACATTTACATCACCAGGGGACTGAACTCTATACATTCATTAAACTTTTATTTTAATTAAACTGCTAGATATCAATTACTATAAATTATGACTCACATAATTAGAGAAGCTTTACATGTTCTTCATCTTAAAACAGTTTGTGTTCAAGATACATAAACAATAGGAAAAAAGGGGGAGAAATATCAATCAGTGAGATTCTTACTAATAAGTTACTGTATTTGACATTATTTTCAGTGCCCATAAATTTGCTTCAAACAAGTGTTTTATTTGTGATAAATGTATTGAGCAGCTCAAAATAATTGGGAGCTGGGAGTGGGGCAGAGGATGGTAGATATGTCTTCTGAAGCAGAAGATTCCAATTTTTTTGCCCTCATCTTTTCCATAAAAGCTCTTAAAGAAACTATATTATGGTTGCATACAACTTCCCCCATGTACCTACAATGTTTTATAATGAAAATACAAACATTTTCTGAAGGTTAGTAAGTTCTTGAATGGTTTTCATAGGTAGCATTCCTTCTACTGTTGACTTTGTATTGGTTCAGTTCTAGAGAAGGAATGTCCAAGGTGGAGCATTTTAGATTTGTTCCTAAAAATGTAGACATCCACACTTGGAGGTCTTTGTAAATCTCTCAGTTTTCTAAAATTGTAAGAAAAAGTTTGAATGTCAGAGCATTTTTTTAAGGATAGACTCTGTAATTGACAACAAATTTAGAAAGGCAGATCTCACTGCCAGAGCCAGTGAACCACTCCCTTAAATTGATCGTGGCCTCTCAAATCAGCTGAGGCCAGACAACAATCCCATTTCCCATTTCTGACACTCCCCCCCACCCCCCACCCCCGCCATTTTCTACTTGTCCTGACTAAAATGCATTGTCCCTTAAAATTGAAAAGCTTAAAATAATTCTTTTTCTTTTCTTTCTTCCTTTTTTTTTTTTTGGCCCATCGTAATTATACATAATAGTGAGACTCACTATGTCACATTTGTACCTGTACATAATTGATCTAATTCCCCACTCCTGCCTCCTGAACTTGCTGTACTCTAGTGATCTCCCTGCTATTATTACTATTATTATTCTTTTAATTAGTGCATTATAATTGCATATATAAAACAGATTCCTTGTGGTATACATGAACATATCATACTTTGATGGATGTCATTCCTCAGTACTTTCCCATTTTCCTCCCAGCCCCTTGATCTTTCTCTACTTTATTAATCTCCCTTCAGTTTCATGAGAAATCCTTTTTTAAAGTTTTATTTTTCTCTAGCTTCCACAAATAAAAAAAAAATTGATGCTTGATTTTCTGAGTCTGGCTTATTTCACTTAGCATGAGGTTCTCCAGTTCCATCTATTTATCAGCAAATGACATAATTTCATTCTCCTTTTTTTTTAAATTCCATTTTTTTTTACAGCTGAGTAAAACTCCATTCTCTTTTTATATATACCACATTTTCTTTATTCATTCATCTGTTGACAGGGAGCTAGGATGATTCTATAACTTGGCTATTATTAATTGCATTACTATGAACATTGATATACACATATCACCAGAGCATGCTGATTTTAGTCCTCTGGGTTAAATACAGAATAGTGGGATAGTTGGGTTACATGGTGGTTCCTAGTCATTCTGGAGGAATCTAGAGATTCTGGAGGAATCTCCAGACAGCTTTTCAAGGTGGTCATACTAATTTGCAGTCCCACCAACAATGTATAAATTTGCATTTTCCCCAAATCCTACCAGTACTGACTGATATTTGAGTTATTTATTATTGTCTTTCTAATTGAAGTGGGATGAAATTTCAGTGTAGCTGTGATACACATTTCCCTGATCACTAAAGATGGTTAAATTTTGTCACATATTTGTTGACTATTTGCATTTATTCTTCTGAGAAATGTCTATTTAGATCATTTGCACATTTATTGATTGAGATATTTGGTAGTGTTTTTTGTTTAAGTTTTAGGGGTTCTTTATATATTTTGAATATTAATACTGTGTCAGAGGAGTAACTGACAAATGTTCTTTTATATATCTCCCACATACTTTTGATTTGTTAATCAAAAGTTATATGTTGGATAGTTAATGATTAATGACAAATTTTTAAAACTACAATTACTTTATGTAAGCTGAATTTGAAGTATTTCAACAGCACTTTAAATGATTGAAAGCTTGTTATTGTCCTAGTGAAAACACAAGAAAACCTAAACCTGCATGAATTTTAAGCTAGGGAAGAATTTTCAAAGACTATTCAGATGGTTTGAACACATACCATGGTAGTGCCTAACAACAACAACAAAAAAAAAAGACATAAAATATTATAAAACATCCCAAACCAGAAAGCAATGAAAACATTCAATTTTTATTTCAAAAATATTTTCATATACTATAGAAAATTTAAAACATGAAAGCATTCCTTATTTCAATCCTCCCACTTCCATGGTCTTTCTCATCTGAGTTAATGCAACTCCAAACTTCTAGATGCTCGTGTCAAAAAATCTAAAATAACTTTTGACTTCTCTCTTTCTCATCTTTCCATTATCAAATTTATTTGATGCTACCTTTGAAATATCCAGGCATCAATGTTTTCCCACCATATCCACTGTGAGTCACTGACTTCATACTTTTTTTTATTTGCAATGTACTTATAATTTGGTTCTGTCAAATATTCATGTGATTGTGTCACTTCCCTGCACCCAATCTTCCAATGATTTTTCATTTCTCCTCAGAGACCTTCAAGGTACTTCATGATGACAGCCCTCTCCATAGACCCTCAGGTTCCTTAGATACAAACTTTCTCTCTCTCTCTCTCTCTCTCTCTCTCTCTCTCTCTCTCACACACACACACACACACACACACACACACACACACATACACCTTACTGTATTCTTATCTCTTCTCACTTTTTACTTTCTCTACCAGGTTTCTAAAAGACTTTCTGCTTTAGTGTATTTTTCCCTCTACCTGACAAAGCTCTCTTTCTCACTTTCTTGAGATCTCTATTCAAAAATCACCTCATTAGTAAGATATACTGTTGTCCTCCTTCCCACCCTATCCCCTTTAACTCTGACAAGCTATAAGTTTAATTTTCTCTTCTATCTGCCCTTCCACCTCTCCCATCACACACTCTAGAATATGTTATTTGCCTTTTTATTTATTTTTTTTTTTTGCTTGGTTTTTTTTTTTCTGCCCTGAGGGATAGAGCCCAGGGCCTCAAGCATGCTGGGTAAGTGCTATTACTAAGCTATACCCCAGCCCAGTAAGTGCATTTTGAAGGTAGTGTATTTGTCAGTTTTGTTCACTGGGTATCGTCATTATCTGGTATAGTTCTTAGCACATACTGAGTACTCTTTAAATATTTCTTGAACTAATGAACTGAAAAGTGTGTGTTAAAGTTGCTAAGTGCTACTGTGTAATTCTTTTTTGTGTGTCTAAATTTTAAATTCCAGTAATATATTTATACAAGATTTGCATAACTTTGTCTCCAAACAATAATTTGCTTTCTAATAACCTTCATATTAAAATATGGACTATATACTGTTCTCTGTAATAAAATATCCTGCCTTATAGAAATGAAATATGACATTTTATATAAATGCTGCTATATTATATAAGTTGCTTCATTAAGCTATAAATAATTTTAATTTCAATTTGTTGGTTATATTCAATGAACTCCTGAAGGTCTTAAGATTTTTAACTTTTAGAGGGGATATATTACATTTTCTTAAAACTTTTACATATTTTCATGGTCTATTAATAGCTGTTACTAAATTTATTTTCTAAGTGCAAGTCTATGAAGAAAAACAATTACAGAAAACTTAAAACTTTACAGATGATCTGTTCTTAGGTTCTGTGTTTCTAGATAAAAGAGTGAGACCCAGACAGGTAACATAGTTTGCCTGGGAATCCTACAGCTACCAGCAATGATACCAGGACTTCTCATTGTTAATATATAGCTTCATTCTCTTGCTCCAAAATATTATAAAAAGGACATAATATGACAAAAAAGGCTTTATTAAAATTTTGTTATTAGTACATTGATTCTTTAGAAATATTTATATTCTTACCATCATTCATACTTACATAAAATTAGTTCTACAAAGTAATAGCACAGGAAATAAGACCTGCCACAAAAAAATAAAGAAATTTCCTAAAAATAGCATGATTACAGAACAATAGAACATTCTAGAATCATTGAGCAAACTGGGTTTCAGGAAACAAAGCTAAGCCTCTTAAAGTAGTAACTTATGGAGCACAGTCTCTTCCATTTTCTTTATAATTATCTTCAAGCTAAAAGTAAAGATAGCCTTCAGTTTGACAGAGAATTGGACCATACATTATTATAAACATTGGTTAGTTCTATGTTACTAAGTTTCAAAAGCTGCAGGGTAATCAGATTTTTCTGGGCTTCCCAATGTAGCTCTAGAGACTCTAGTAAACATAAGTCATAAATTTGATTTTGCTTTGGTGCTTAGAAACAGTTTAATAAATAAGAAAGAAAAAAATGAATAAAAGGAGAAGAAAATAAAATACAACAAAATAGCTGGACCATTTTTTTTTACTTTAAAAAAATGCTGGGAGTTTAGGATCATACCATAAATCGCTTAAGTACACCTCACAATATTGAGCCCCCCTACACACATTGTTTCCACTGTTTAAGAAATGATAGTCATGCACAATCACAACCATTTCAACTTGCATCCCATCTGTAGATGTTAAATCTAGTCTCAGAGGCTGCAAAACTTATGAATTCTTAAGTTATAAGAAAGACATTCAAGATCTTAATCCATGTGTGAATATCCACAACTAGTCATTCTACATAACTTATATCTTCAAATCCTGGATAGATTTCTAATTCATTTGGGCCACGTAAATCCAATTGTCTTAAGGCAGCTTGTGTTGCAGGATTCAGCCGCTTCCCAACCCTTTTCTCCAAGTGTGTTAAAATAAGGACTAGATAAGATCAACCCCTCTTCTCCACAGTGCAGGATGCATCTGGTTTTACTATATTATGTTCAAACTGCTATTAATTATAAGCTATTGTATGAATTTAAGGTGTTGAGTGAACACCAGAAATGTGTTTTAAATACTTTGTGTAAATTTGTGCCCAACTTTTGTTTTATATTGTTCAATAAATTCTAAAGGAAATTTTCATTGTATTTGTTTTTAAAATCCTTCTGAAATAGTAGTGATGCAGGGCAGTCTTCTGTCTTCAAAAACAAAATCCACTTTAATGACACTTGTGTGTCATTATAAAGTTATCCTTTTTTTCTGTAAAGAGAACAAATCACTTAATCTTCTGTTTCTAATGAGTTAAAAGGAAAATGAAAAATTAGATGATTAAGGCTTTATCTATAATACATCTATTTTAAAAATTGGAATTTTCATTGTGAATTCACTTAGTGTAAAAATGAATATCAGCTGCTGCTTGGTTCCAGTTGTACTTTCAGCTAAGAATAGCACAAGGGGGACAAAAAAGGACTTGATGATCTTATGATTTGGTGAGTGTGGGGGTAGTTTTTGTTTTCTCAGTCAGTGTAGTCACAGCTAGAAAGAAGTAATTTCAAAAATGTTCTAAATATATGCCTGACACACAGTTCTTTAGCATTTATAAAAGTAAATTGTGCATAAAAAGTAAAAATTTTAAATATTGTAAGCATTACTATATGGTATAATTGTTCTTTTACTGTAAATTTAAATATACATTTTTGTAGAATTAAAATATGCCAATTAGTTTTCTTTTGGTATATGTTGTCTTTTTTAAAAAAAATTGTTAGCATTTCAAAATTTCAAACAGATAAACAACTTCAGGATTTTGTGTTTATGTTTCATTTTGTAGATTATTTAAATAAATGATTAACTGCATATAAATATCGCTTAAAAGCTAGAAAATCTTGTGATTCCAGCACAATTTTAATACCAAAAACATATGAAACATATGAAAAAACATGAAATAGAAATATTAAAATGTTCATGATTTTCAACTATTATTTATTTTTTATTTTACAGTGACTTAAAACTGACATTTTTTCCCTTTCATAAACATTTTTTTCTCTATTTTATAAAAACAACATTGAAAAGACAAGTTACAATGCCTCCAATGATATGATTAAAAAAATATTGTTCAGAATGCTGTGGGTCATACCCAGTTTGTTGATTCTGGTGCTAGAATCTTGAAAGATAGTCTCCCAGGATTGGTGGTGGGCAGGAGCTCTTCCTGGCACAGTGATTTTCTATATCAACTCTGCAGTTGTAGCCATAATCAGAATTAAGGGAGAAAACATGAAAGATCATTTAATTTGCTAGGGTAGTAGGAAGGAAAAATGGAAGGAAAAACGAAGAGAACAGGAATGGAGGGAGGAAGGAAGGAGAAGAGGAAAGAAGGATTTCAATATTACCTGTTTTCATAATTTTCTTCTGAAGAAAACTCATCTAAAATGTCCTTGGTTTTCCCAAACTTTTTCTATGACTGTATAAAGAATATTGAAGATTTTCTCTTTTACAAAGAAAACATCCCTCTTTTTCTTTTTATAAACCAAGTAGGGATTTATGTTTCCAACTCTGCCACTCTCTGTTTCTCTTGTCTATGTGCGCTCCCTTGCATTTCTGGTACCAGCCAGGTACTTAGTTTAACTTAGCCGCACCCATTTAAGGTTTTGACTGATTCATTACCGGGTTTTGCTTTTCTTCAGCACCTGTGGTGGAAACAAAGTATGAACTCTCATACTCAGAGGCTGTGATTCCCTGCTACTCAGCCAAGGAAAGGATTAGTTGGCCTCTATGCTGACTCATTCTTTCCTGACATAAGGATTCTCTTTTCTGCATGTCAGAGTCTAGAATTTCCCAATCTCTGCCTGTACTCTCAGAATGAGTTGGCAGTGAGTCAACTGAATTCTTTTCGATAAACTTCTCTTCACCAGTTTGGTGAAGTGGAAACCCAGAAAAACATGCAAGCAGCTGAAATAGATTTTGCAGATTTCCCTACAACATGAAGCACATAGACTTCATGCCTCCAACATGTGTCATTTACTGCAATAAATGTGTCATTTACAGTTAAATTACATAAGGTCAAAGCTATTCACTCAACACCATACAAATAATCAAGGTCAGAGTTGTGAATGACTTTCAGTGATATTAGTGGGACCTGTGCTTTCAACTCCTGGGTCCACAGCTTGATTTCTCTGTGTACATGTATAGGTTCTTGCCTTTAAATTATGACATTGAGTTAAACTGAAGATCAAGAAACACATCAACATTCTTCCTTTACTATATGGATCAAAGTGGGTAGTGAGTCCATATTTAGTTCTTTGAAACTCTGGCTTACATTAGACAGGTTAGAAATATTAGAATCAGCAGATCATTGTCTCTTCCCTTAGATACATTTTTTCATGTCTTGGATTTCTTCCTAGCTCCCTGGTAACAATTGTTTTAATTTTCCTTTGCAGGCCTTTCCTTCTCTCTTTCCCTCCATTTCTCAGTATAAGACTCCTTCAGGGTATAGCCCTTGGTCCTCTTTTCTATTAGCATTTATTTCCTGGGTGATCTCATCCAGAACTATGAATTTCCATGTACTACCCAATGTCTCTGTCCACCAGTTCAAATGCTTTTTCTTAGCTTTTTTTTTTAATGTTGAATACCCAGGACTTTGCACATGCTAGGCAAGTGCTCTACCTTAACTTATAATTCAACCCTTTTTATTTTTTATTTCAAGATAAGTTCTTGCTAAGTTGCCCAGGCTGACCTCAAACTTGTTATTCTCCTGCCTCAGCCTTCCAAGAAGCTCAGATTACAGGCAATGTTTCACCGCTACTATCAGTTCAGAAGTCTTTGATGTCCCACTGACTCTTGACATCTGTACATGGATGACCAATAGACATCTTCAAATTTTGTATGTCCAAAATTGAACTCTATACCTTCTCCTATAGATGCTTAACTTACTTAGTTCATTTTCTACAGCATATAACAAATTGCCTGGGAATGGGTAATTTATAATAAGTAGAAATAGATTTTGCTCAGAGTTCTGGAGGTTAGGAAGGATAAGAACATGACTGTGGCATCTGGCTAGTGTCTTCCTATTGTGTTGTCACTTAATGGAAGGCAGAAGGACAAAAGAGTGCATAACCAAGAAAACAAGAGGGGGCTAACTTCACTGTTATGAGAAAATCCACTTTCACAATAACTGAACCACTCCTGAAATAATGACATTAATCCATTCATGAGAGCAGAACTCTTGGGACCAAATTACCTCTTACTAGGCTCTATCTAACTTCCAACATTGTTGTGTAGGAGATGAAGTTTCCAACACATGAACTTTGATAGACAATTTTAAACTATAGCAAATCCAAAGAGATTTTCCATCCCTAGTGATGGTAACTCCTCTTACCAATTTCACAGGCCAAAAATCCCAACTTCATCTAAACCTCTCCATTAGAAGATCATATTGATTCTAGCTTCACAATATGTCCTGATCTGACCACTTCTTTATACCTCCACTATTACCCTACTGGTCTGAGCCACCATCTGAATTAATGCAGAAATCTGTTTTCCCAGTAACTTATGCCCGTGTTTCTTCCACTCTCTTCTCAAAGAGAACAAGAATGGTGCTATGAAACACAACCAAGATCTATCTCTCCTACGGCTTCCTCCAGTGGCTTCCTGTCAGGCATACTGCAATAGGCTATGTCCTTAACAGAGTTTAAAAGGCCTTGAGTGATTTGGCCTCTGTAAACTCTTCTCTCCCTCCCCACCCCTGAAGTTCTTGTGTATTCACTTTATTCCCATCCCTCTGTCTTCCTTGCTGTTTCTTTGAATAAACTAGGCACACTTTTGGTTTAGTGCCTCTACCTGGAACACATGTTAATTACAATTTAAAGACTCAATAAGAGTTCCATCTATCTTTTTTATCTCTTCCAAATTCACCAATTCATAATCCTGCTACACTTTTAGATTTGTAGCACTTATCTCTACCCGCCATTTGTACTAAGCACCCACCGCTTGAACATAAGATAGCAAAAAGGAGGGATCTCAATTTCTTTGGGATATATTGCAAGTATCTACAGCAATGCCTGATACATTGCAGGCACCCAATAAACATGTGTTGAGTGTCAAACACATTTTCATCTTTTCTCCCCTCTGCTAGTGTACGATATTCCATGCTGGGGGTGGCAATGGTGGGTGGGAGGTGGAGGCAGAAAGAGAAGGACTCTAAAATTTTTCTTGTTATTCTTTATGTTGATACAATTTAACCACCTCTTTACTTTTTAAATGTCCTCCTACTAAAGGGCTTACACAGTTTTTCCTCATTGTAAAACTATTAATTTTTAAGGGAGTGGATGCATTTGGAACTTGAGACAACTCCATAATTATATGAGTATTAGAGTAATTAAATTTGATATGACCCAGATGGGCAGTTTTCCTCTAATAGAAGCATGGTATTTTGTGATAGGATAATGAAATGTTAGGATGACAAGGCAGCTGGAGATACAATCAACCCCTGAATAATAAAATAACATTTGCTCTCACAGGCAAACTTTATTCGTACAAATTTATTATAATTTCTTTCTCAAAATTATTTCTAAAACTACTTATACATTCCTAGGATACATCCAATTAAAGAAAATATATAACATAATGTAATATATTTCAAGTTTCAAAAAATATACTGAAAATTAGAATTCCCCTGGTGTGATCCTTACCAGGATTACCATTGATGTGCACCACTCTCTGGAGTTAGATAGGGAGATGTGCTTCTTTCTCAAAATCTAAGTTAGTGTCAGCCCTTCATCTACTGTGACATTCTCTTATCATCCATCTACCAGGAACAGACCCAGGAGGAGCTAACTCTTGTATCACCTTCAGCAATTAGTGTGAGTACAGGTTCTTATTCACTGTGCTGCAGGGAGCAGATCTAAAGGACTGCTGCTTGCACCTGACAGATCTCTTTCTCAATACCTACCAAATCACACAAGAACCATGTCTGCTTAGCTAACAACTCAGGTCAGTTATATTTACCTTGAAATAGATCCTAACCAACAATTTTATCCTGTAGTTAGAGCACATTGGGAAGATTACAGATTTTGAAGCCAGTGCCATCTCATGTGGGTCATGTACCATCTGAGATGTAGCCTTCTGGCCTTTATTAGCCAGTGGTGCCCACTTGGAAGACTCTTGTGATTATTAGCAATGACTCAGGTAAAGTGTGTCTCACACAATGTGCTGGCTACAAAAGTGTTGGCTAACCTAGGTCAGCCAAATTCTTTGTTGATTCCTCTATGAGAAAGAATAGTTAACACAAAGGACACTGTCAATGGATAAGAAATTGTCTCAAGCCATCCATGGGCTGTGTGTGTGAGCTATGCACATTGTAGCTATATGAGGGGACAGGCCTGTCATTGCATGCTGATTGGGCTGTGTGATGCAAGTGTGCCTCTCCTCTGGCTCTCCTGTGATCCCACATAGCACCTGAGATGGGTGTCACTTGCCAAGATGTCAATCAATCTGCTGACCACAAGATATCATGAAGCAAGACTCCATCTATGAAACTTTATCCCCTGCCTTATTTGGTGTAGAATATTCTATTGAAAATTCTTTGTTTATCTTTTCCCTATAAATAAAGTGATTC